AACCTGCGGGCTCAGGCAATCCACTCACCTCAGCCTCTCAAAGGCGCGGGATTACAGGCTGTGCCACCGAGCCCGGCTGTTTGAGTATTTTTTAAGAAACCAAGTTGAATAAATAAGTTGCTGTGTTTGCTACAATTATAGATGCTAACTTACATTGTGTAATATAGTGCTCAATAAAGTAACATATATGAATTTACAAACTATTCCTTTTTTGGTAAATTGAATAATTTTATATGTACCTCAAATACTTCAGGAAGAAGTTGTTATTTCAAGAATACCTAGTGAATTCTCTATTAGGCAGAGTCCTATTGAGTTACTCTAATTAGTATATATGCTTAGAATACTATAGATTGGAATGTTGAGATGTTCTTTTTTTCTCCCCACTCTCCTCAATTTTTTTTTCTTCCTTTTGTTACTTTCTAGGGCAGCTCCTTTTTTAGCTCTGGTGAACTATATTATTTTACTCCTCTTTTTTTTTTTGGTTGATACAGGCAACTAACAAAACACATTATGTTTTTCTCATGTCTATATAACATTGTATATGCATTTATGATAAACAAGCAGGCATTCCAATTATACACAGACTTTGAATTTTATGTTCTTAAAATATTCTAAACTGTAGTGTGTGTTTCTCTTGACTCGGTGGGTGTGGACTTTGAAATTGTTGTGGGAGACAGAGGGACATTGACTTGATGATGCTAACCATGAAATACACATAAGCAGCAATGTAATGAAATAGTTCATAGAAGTTTTTTCCAGGAAATGACTCAAAATGCAAGATGTCTCAAAACATAATCCATTGAACACTTTATAGGACCGATCATCTCAAATTGTTTACAATGCTTTCAGTAACTTTTTATGTGTATGTGTAGTCTTTAAATGAGTTATTCATTTAAAAGACTGAGTACAGTATATATTTATTTGTAACTACTATTATATCATGATGACTAGAGAAGAAGAATTTATTTTATGTAAATAAGTATTATTTTCCTGCTTTCAGTGGCTTATACTGGTCTTGACCACAGGCTTTATATGCTGTTGTATTAAAAAGAGTATATTATTTTTGATGGAGAAGCAATGAATGAGAATTATTTTGAAAAAACATTTAGAAAAATAAGTATTTTTAATTTCTTCAGAACGTGAAAAGACTTTATTGTTAAACTTAGTTTGCTAAAAGCAACTTATTTGTCAAAAAACTGATGAAGCAGAGTTAAATTTTTGAATTTAAAATTAGTCATTTTAAATGAGCACTAAATGCTAGTCCTTTTTTTTTTTACATGTGAATGGCACAAAAAATAAGGATGCTAAATACTATGTTTTACTAATCTCCGTAATAAAGAATGGGAAGAATTTATGTAGAATTTTGATTATTCACAATGATATATAGAAGAGTCTGTGTTTTATTTTGGGATTTCTGTCATCCTAGGTATTTTGGAAATATTTGCTGTGTCTCAGGGGATTGTAGGAATACGAGGAGTTTTCAGCAACAAATTTTTAGCGATGTCAAAAAAAGGAAAACTCCATGCAAGTGTAAGTAGAACCACTTTATATTTGTTAAAGGTGTTATGGAGATTTTACATTTGTAAAACAACAAAATGATTTTCCAAATTGGTAGATAAGACAGACAATTTTCCCAGAAAATTATTTTTTTTTGCAAAATTATGTGTGCATTAACCTAAAGAATTTTATGTTTCTGCAAGTAATCGTTTAAATATTTTATTTACTTGAAGAGACATTGTAGAGTCTACAAAAAGTTTTAAGGTTAAGTGGTGTATTTGGAAATAGCATTCACAAAGTGGTTGCCATCATTTATTTCTTAGAGGTGACCCAAATAAGGAGAAATATTATGGTAAAAATAAATTACATAACATTTTATATGTACAAGTTGATAATGATTGTGTGTGTGCTTAGTAGACGGGGCTCTTATTTAATTTTACAAGCTACTCATGATGCCAAGAATGGAGTCTCAGTAATATAACACATTTTTATACTAGCGAGTAGGGAGGGGAAAAAACAATAATAAGAAGACTTTAACCTGCATAGAGAAGCTTTATTAGATTAATTTGAAAACATTATCTTGTATTTTTGTTTCATCAAAAACAATGACTTCTTAATACTTACTGTGAAGACTAATTTCTGCATTCTTAAAAATTTCTGCAGACCACTTATACATCTTGTAATCGACTTAAAATTTTTTATTTCTTTGCTTTGCTTTGAAAATGCCCATTTTAATTTTAAAACATTTTAAAGTTAATAAGTATGTTTAGATTAGTTTTCCCACTCACAAATTCTGTCTTTTTCTTTTAGTATGTATGCATGGTGCTTAAAAGGGATTTATGCTTTTTCTGTGGTGTATTAAATTTCTTAACATTAAATCATTTAAAAAAGCAATTATTCTTTAAACCTAGTCACTAAATTCTCATTTCCTGTAGTTATTATTAAATAAACAATTGAAATACAACTTTTTCGATGTTCAATGTGTATAGAAAATTTTAATTGAGTACAATCAATTTAAACTACTATTATGATTTTTATTTTATAGACCTTTAAAAATTCAGTAAGGATTCCATTTAGTTCAATGTGTAAAAATTTTACAGTTTTCCTTACTTTAACATCTAAAGGTGATTTGTTAATACCTTTTGAAAAAGACAGTAGAATTCAAGTAATTCCTATAGTCATTTGAGGATTAAATGAGATAATACATGCGAAGTGCTTAGAATAGTATGTGGTACATCATAAGTGCTCAATACATAGTGCCTGTTATTATGTGGTAACAATCTAAAATATAAGTATAGTAAACTACTAAAAATCTCAGTTTATTAGATAAATTGAAAACCCTTGTTTAGTTCTTTAATCACCTATTTATTACAAGAGCTATACAATGATTATTATTTCATTTTCTGAGCTGATTATTATGCTGTAGCAAACTATAATACAGTATACACAAAATAATGTTTTATTTTTTCATTTATTTATTTTAAGGGATACAATTCTGCAAAAATAAGACATTTTATTTTGTTAAAAATAAATTTGATTTTTAAAAATCTACATACAGGATAGAAAACAATGATTGCACACAACAGAACAGAATAACATTTCCTTAGTCTACTTTGTAAAATATTGAAATACCTTCAAAATCCAAGCATCATAATAATATCATAATGCACAATGCATGTAAAGAAACTTTCTCTTATTGGTTTGTTTCTTTAGATTGAAAATCTTAACTTTTAAGATAATCTGATTTATGCCCTAGTACATGCAAAAAATAGACTCAACTTGGAACAGCTTAAGGAAAATTGCCACAGAAAGCGAGGTATTACAGATGGAGGCCAATTAGAAAGGTCAAGCTAAGAGGTTAGGATACATGATTCCTCTGTCAAATGCAAGTAACAAATTTCTAGAAATTTGACCCAAATGTCTAAGGATGGCTGGCTGAAATAATGCAGATAATGCAAAAACAGCATCTGTGATTCTTTCTCATCTTGGCAGGCTGAAGTTATTTCATGCAATAATGACTTTTTAACAGTACAAAGCAAGCCCTGCTCTTGTCACTCACTGAGGCTCTTTGATAGAAAAGTCATTCTGATGACTTTGAACGGAATTGCAGATAAAAAATTAAGCCCTTCGATTATGTGGATTCTTTCTAAACCAATTGTCCAAGTCCACTTTCTCTTATCTGAGCTTTTATTAGCTCTTTTTCTCTAGGTGAAAACCTAATTAAATTATAAAGTGATTTATTTTTTAAAGAAGTTAAATTTCTAAATTGTGTTAATGCCAGCAATTATCAGTTTCATGTCCAGCTGGTTTCTTTCCTGTTTTCAGTTTCTAGTTTAACATGTCTGAAATGTGTTATTATAACTTTAAATAGGATTGTTTGATTTAGTTTTGATTTTTGCAACTGTATGTTATTATGAAAACAACTAAAAACCCTTATACTTTTAAAACTAGTGGTGAAATTTTGAGTCGCTTTAAATTAGTAATTGTGCATAGGCATTTAAAGAGTATCATTAGTGTTCTATCTACAAAGTTAAGTGTGAACCAGAAATGTCAAATATTCATATAATTCTGGAAAGAGTAATCTCCCTGTATTGAGAAATATTCTTGGATAACTGTAGATATTCAGCTTGGTTTTCATAGCAATAATCAGAGTATTAAAAGTTAGTTACTAGGCAGAGATAATGTACTTTCATAATTCCTTAAAAGCTCTTTTACTCACAATACCTCATTAGAGAATGAGGTGAAGGAGTCTCAGAGTTGCTGAATTATTTTCCCAAGGTTAACAGTTAATGAGTAATTGAACCAGAAAATACCTTCTTAGAATTTTCTCTCTTTCTCTTTAAATGCTATAGTGCTTGGTAAACAAAAGTTATCTTGAAAAAAGATATTAAATTTTGTTTGAAGCCAATTACATTGTTTTCACTATTATTTTATAGGAATTAATAAGTGCATGACATAATATATTCATATTACACGTAAAAACTGAATACTGTGGCATACCCTTCAAATATGTATAACACTTTAAGATATTTAATAGGCAAATAGGTAATTTTAGATTTGTAGTTAAAGTTGCAAATTTCCCTTCTCCTTTCAATTTGCACCTCCTCTCTTCTCTATCTCTGTTTCTCTCTCTCCCTGCCATTCCTCCCTTTTAATTCAGAGTGCTCTCTCCCCCTCTCTCTCTGCCTCTTTGATTCAGAGCACTTTTTCGATTGGCTTTTTTTCCATCTACATTTGTGTCTCTGATACTTCGTTTTAGAGTCTAGAAAGGAGAGCATGTGTCCACCATAGAATGTATAACAGATTTTTACAAACGTTGGCTATTCAGTGTGATGATGAATTGCGTCTTCCTCCCAAGGTGAATTTTCAAAACAGAAAAGAGATCTTTTTTGTTCAGAGAAATCTTCACTTAGTAAATGCTTCATTGCTGGTGAACACAAAGATGGCAAACTGAAATGGCGGCCCTGAATGGTTAGAGTTAGGCAACATTGATGCTGATTTGATTTTCATGCTGTTTATTAATTCCATAGAAGGTTTATTTGAGTGTCAACCATTTATATGTGCCCCTAATCTACATGCAAGTCTCCTTAAGACCTATACGGTATACTCAAATTATACAGTGCAGCCAGATCCCTACCTTGCGGGCTTTTTCAGCATTCTTTACATGGATGAGATGTATGGGCTGCTCCTTGTCAAAATGTATCAAGAATCATGGAGAGTAGGAATAGATCATTGCTTCCCAAAGAACCACAAGGGCTCGTCAGAGCCACATCTGTGGCCCCCAATCTCTTTCTCAGCACAATCCCAAGCTGAGGTGCCTTTTTTTTCTACCTTTGTCTCTGCTTATTCTTGCTCCCTCCTCAGGTTTGGTGTTCATATTGACAATGCCATACAGAGCCTTTCTAGATTGGTCTGAGGAGGTCCAGACGAAGAGTTGAGTGTGATGGTGAAGAGGAAGTTGGATTACCTGGGGCTGAATCCCACTCTACCACTTCCTAACTGGGCCATTTGACTTCATTTTTCTAATCCTTAGTTTTATCAACTACAAAGGAAAACTAACGTAACAAGCTCTTGTGGCATTTAAGTGTTTTAAACAAGAAAATACATATGAGACACTTAGAGTAGTGCCTGGAAAGTAGTTTGTACTTAATGTTCCACCAGATCTTCCTAAATTTGCTCTCTGGCAGCTGTTCGATGATCCTCAATCACTTTTTTTTCTGATTTGGGGGTCAGGCAGCTGTGACCCTTCAGTTATTCACACCAGCCCCAAATCCTGTTTATAATTGACCCTTTCTTCCTTGGGTCCAAGGTTTGTGTGTGCATGGTAGCGCCTTATCTACTGGGTTTTCCTTTTTCCCAGGAACCTAATTTGAAAGCAAAATTCCCAGGTTCAAACTCAAGCTCTTAAAGAGGCAAGGATTTCTTGTGGTCATACTGTTGCAATTCTTCTGGGATTGTGTCATTCATCTTGTTTTTTCCCTAAATAGTACATATCCTGGAAAAGGTGATTATCATATATTCTTCAGTCTTTTCATAAAGTATGCTGCATGATAGCTTATTGGGGAAAAGTATATTAGCTTAAAGATCTGGAGAGAAACACGTCGTAGAATTATTTTTGTTTCTTAGGGTTTTAGGGGATCATGTTTGGAAGGAAAGCTAATTGCAGAGTTTACGAAACAGGCATGGAATGTGCGCTTGGTCAGCCCTGAGCAAGGGCTAGAAGGTCCTCCTTCCCTGGTTCAGAGGGTGCCAGCTGGCTTGCCTGGGATTGGAGTCTGGACTAGACTTCCTGAGCTGGGGGAACAGTGAAGAGGAGTCGGGAGCCCCTAAAGCTGGGCATGTTCACTGAAAGGGGAAAGGAGGCTTGAGTTACACTTATCACCATCGTAAAAAATGACTTACTAAGCACTACATTCTGCCAGTCAAAACCAGGAGTTATGTCCAGGCATTTGGATAGAATTTTCCCTTACCTCTAAGGGCTTTCAATTTACATAGAAACATTGAATGGCTAGTTATTCAGGCACAAAAATGGGTTCAGGCTCTGCCTTCGCAGTAGTTTTATACTAGGTAGGTCTGGTAAGAGGGTCCGTTTTACTGAGGAAAGCTGGGTGTGATACATAGACTGTTCTCTTCAGAGATGCATTTTAGCTTAAAGTGAGAGATAGTTTTGCATTTCCTTGGGGGCGTGGCGCTTGTTCATCAGTATTTTAACGTGCAACAACTTCAGAGCTAGTACTACTAGACAGCAGCCTGGGAAGCAGCCTTGGCTTGTATATTTGCATAGTGCTATGGAAAGGGCTTTAGTCAAGGAATCAGAAGACTAGGATCAAAATTATGCTATGAGATTTTACAGTTTTTTGTTTGTTTTTTTTTGAGTTGGAGTCTAATTCTGTCGCCCAGACTGGAGTGCAGCGGCCGCTCCCGACCACTGCAGCCTCGACCTGCTGGGCTTTGGCGATCCATCCGCCTCAGCCTTCCAAGTAGCCAGAATTACAGGCATGCACTACCACGCCCGGCTGATTTTTTGATTTATTGTAGAGATGAGTCTCGCTGCCCAGGCGGGTCTTGAACCCGCGGGCTCAGCCAATCCACTCACCTCAGCCTCCCAAAGGCGTGGGATTACAGGCTGAGCCACCGAGCCCAGCTGATTTTACAGTTTTGTAAAAAAATATATATATATATTATTTCAGAAAAAAATCCCTTATTTGTTTAATTGATCCTGTTTAATTCCAATTTGACCAAACTTGTCTTTGATAGAATATTCTAGTTAATCAAAGTTTTGCTTTCTTTGAGTTGAATTTGACCTTCTTTTAAAACTTCATTGTTTCAAATGGATCTTTCACTGTGAGAAGAAATGAGAAGAGTCAAGACAGTGTTTTTCTTTTTCTTTTTTCTTTCTTTTTTTTCTTTTTTCGGGTAGGAGTCTTACTCTGTTGCCCAGGCTGGAGTGCAGTGGCATGTTCATGGCCACCACAGCCTTGACCTGCTGGGCTTGGTGATCCTTCCGCCTCAACCTTCCAAGTATCTGGAACCACAGGAGCGCCACCACACCTGGCTAATTTTTGTATTTATTGTAGAGATGAGGTCTTGCCAAGTTGCCCAGGCTGGTCTCAAACCCCTAGACTCAAGCAATCCTCTCACCTCTGCCTCCCAAAGTGCTGGGATTGACACTGACTTTCTAATAAAAAAGTTATTTCCCCCAATAGCAGTGTGTTTTCCCTCCTCAGAATCATTTGAATATGCAAGCAAAAATTGCTTAATTTGTTACATTTTTTTCATGTGTCCATTAAGAATATACTAAACTACTTAGAATTAGCTGTCGTGAATGTTTTATTTTATTTTGCAGTTGTGGTTTGTTGAATGTGACTTGTTTTCACACTTGCAAAATCAAGGAGAAATTAAGGAGAAAAACATCGATAATTTAAGGCAACGAAGAACACAGGCAGGACTGCACCTATGTTGTTTTCCACTGTAAAGGTGAAAACTAGCACAGTGCCTGACCTACAATATGCAGGCAATAAATATCTGTTGAATGCACTATTGAAAAAATAAATTTGAAACAAACATAGGGAATTTTTTGCAAACATTTTAATGATTGCTTTTGTTGCAGCTTAAGGCAAGTAAATGATGGAGTCTCTATTTCAATAACTAATTTGCCTCTCTACCTTTGACAGTCGAAAGAGTCTGTCAACTTCATTCTTTTAGGAAAATAATGCAGTCCTGTTATTTTTAAAGTATATGTTTTATTAAAGGACTTATAAATCTTATAATTCAAAGGAGATTTTAAAAATGAACATGAGCTTGAAGAGTTATCTAAAATTTTCTAGTGGTAAATGCATGTATCTTAGTACCTGTAGCTCAGACTTGTACTACCTAGTGGCTTTCGGCTATAAAGATGTTCGGTGCTTGGCATTACTTACCGCGATGTACCATGTAGGGTCACCATCTTGACTGAGTGAGGACAGGAATAGTGACAGGAACAGTCGATCCCTCAAGAAGAAACTAGGTCTCCTGATGAAAATCTTCACTGAAATGTTTATTTCAAATGGTTCTGTTCCATCATAGCTGGAAAACATTTTAGACAAAACATTAAATTAGAAGTCAATTAAGAAATCCAAAACCGTCTGACTGCCTTTACTCCTGTGTTAATGTAGGGTCTGGAACAGCTGAGGAGCTGTGTGGAGCTTGTGGGTTTTCAGAACTTTGGACATTTCTACTCTGTGTAATATGTAGATGCTTTTGAAAAATCTGACGTCTGAATAGCCATCTCCTTAAAAGGCCCGTCTTAAGAAAGGACTTTAGAATATTAATCTTGAGTATGAAAGGAGAAAGTTTTTAGATGGAATAATTTTGGGGTGTGGGGTGAGTGGGTTTTCACTCATTGAAAGGCCCTGTGTAATTGATATAGGTTTTAAAAACATGCTATGATATGTGTGCATGTGTGTGCACGTGTGTGTGTGCCTGTCATCCACCTCAGTTAAAAAGTGACATGTTCTTTATTTTCTTGGACATTAGTGGGGTAAAATAATAAATAATGCAGTGTATTTTAAAAATTAAACTCTCAAAATTGAGTAAAGCAATTGCTGCTATTTTTGTAAAATAGTAGAAGTTAGATCAAGGTATAATGTATTACATGTATTTTAAAATGCTGTTCAATTGCATTTGAAGAAAAAAGTTCAAGGTAGGGTAAATATACCTGCTACTCTTTTTAATGTAATGTTCCACACCTTTCTAAAATGTTTATTACCCTTTTATGGAGGCAGAAATAGTCCAGATGGCCATTAGCTCTTACTTTAAAGTAAAACTGTGGGATTCTCTAAATAAAAGGAAGAGCCCTTTTAAGAGTCGGGAGGTTGTAGACAAATCTATATTTAACTTGTAGGAACAATCAATGTGTGGTTTCTAAAGTGATGTTGGCATGGTAGTTTTGGCCTAAATGCAGGCTGGCTAGTTGTAAGACAGTGTGAGAGTGAGACCATACCAGGTGGTAAAACACCTACCGTTGGCATTCTCGAGCTCAAACCTAGATATAAACCGGTAGACTTGTGGAGTATCTACATATGTAGCCTCATGCCCCCAAATAAAGAGCTTTATTGATTGAGCTGTGCTTACATGTCAATAACTCCCATAAATGGTTATACATAGGATTACTGTTCTATTGAAAATGCTCTGGTGTTGCTTGTCTTCTGATATTGCTAGTACTTTGCACAAGTCAAAAATTCCATGTGGCTTTCAACAGTGGATCTCTGTAGATTATTTTTCAGCATTTGGATTTTCAGATTTCAGTGTTGGGATCTGTATTCCAGAGAAAAGCTTGGCATTATGGGGAAAAGCAAGGGAAGAAAGTCTCTGTTAATCTGTTACAGACCCTCTTGGTCTGATATAGATGTTTTATAGCTTTTAGTGTTCTGTGTAAAGGGGACAAAAATATTTGTTATTCTCAAACCAGGAGCTTTGTGGAAATAGTGTTCCCTGCTATTGTGAAACTGAATAGTCTGGACTAGTATAGGACTCTTACTACTTTGGGGGTTATGGACTCTTTCCATTTTGATGAACGCTGTGGATCCCTCCCCTAGAAAAAATACATCTCACGATTGCCGTATGGGTGCAAGGCTAATGAGTTAGGAGGCTAAGGCTGAGAGTTTAATTAGCAGAATTGGTTTGATTGCATGTCTGACTCCAGGCTCATGCTTTTCCCCATTTTCCTATACTTCAAATTCCACAATGTGGCTCCCTTTTGGAGCTGGTCCTAGACAACCTTGTCAGCCTCATCCCTTGCATCCTAAGAGGAAGTCACATTGAACTACCTACAGGTATCCAAAACTGTCTCTCCAGGCACAGTGGCTCATGCTATAATTCCCACACTTGGGGAAGTCGAGGCAGGAGGATTGCTTGAGCCTAGGAGTTCAAGACCAGCCTGGTCAAACATAGTGAGACCCAGTTTCTAACTGAAAAAAAAAAAGCCATGCTGACTTGAACACACTGTTCCTGCTCCCTGAAAATCCTTTCTCATTTCATTAGCCTCTCTAGTGTCTAGTTGTACTTGAAGACTCAGCTCAAATGTCACCTTTTCTAGGAAGACATTCCTGCCCTCTTTCCAGCCATCCTCACCCTCTCAGATGCCCTTCCTCTATGCTGTTGTAACTCCATTTATTAATCTACACCATGACGGACATCTACTTGTCTGTTTTTCCACTATTTTGTGAGAATTTCAAGGGCAGAGATTGTGTGTGTGTATAAGTTCTGACTGAATTGGTGCTAGTGACTCCAATGAATTTTCTTCTTCTTGCGGACAAAGATACTCTCCTGTATCACATGAGTAAAGATATATTTTCTTCCTAAAGAACTCTAACACATGCAATATTAATAGGGTCCATATGCCACCCCTCTCTCAGCAGCATCAGTCATACTGATAACATTGAAATATCCATGCTTGCTTCAAAGGAATAATTTGACCCCATTTCTCTGACCACAAATTCATATTTTACCAGGCAATTCTTAGTAATATAATTTGATTTATTTTCTTGGTGATTTAGGAGGAAAATAAACTTATGTTAAAAGATTTTTAACTACACAGTTTGAAGTATTTTTGAAACAGTATGCAAATGTATTAAGAACTCTGGATATTATTTTTATGTACATTGACATTATGTCACCAAGTATGTAGTGAAAAGAAATCAGTGTTACACAGATAAATGAACTAGATATACAGACAACAACAGCAAAAAAGGAATTTTAAAGCAACTTTAAAAGATGCAAACATGTCTTTATAGAAAAGAATTGATTAGGAAGGGCAAAATTCATAGAATTCTTGATTTTTCTTTTGGGTACATGACCTCATCTTTTATTGCGTGTTGAAAATATTACCTCAATATAAATTTTCTCTTTCTTTTCTCCCTAGGCCAAGTTTACAGATGACTGTAAGTTCAGGGAGCGATTTCAAGAAAACAGCTATAACACTTATGCCTCGGCAATACACAGAACTGAGAAGACAGGGCGGGAGTGGTACGTGGCCCTGAATAAGAGAGGCAAGGCCAAGCGTGGGTGCAGCCCTCGCGTGAAACCTCAACATGTCTCCACCCATTTTCTACCGAGGTTCAAGCAGTCAGAGCAGCCAGAACTTTCCTTCACAGTCACTGTTCCTGAGAAGAAAAAGCCACCTGCCCCTATCAAGCCAAAGGTTCCCCTTCCTGCCCCTCGGAAAAACCCCAACACGGTGAAATACAGACTCAAGTTCCGCTTTGGATAACCTCATCTTGACCTTGTGAGCAATTGTTCTTTCACCTCAGGAGTTTCCATCGGTGTCTTCAGAGCTCCGAAGAAAAATGTCGGACACAGCTTTAGCTGTAGATGCTATGTTGAAGTCAGGTCATCTGTTTCAGCATGACTGAAACAGACATGTTTTTTGATGGGAACCGAACTGGAATTCTTGGTACCAATGCAGGGAGTGAGCTGCTTTACTGCAGTGAGACATACAGCCTCTTGCTTTATGCGTAGAGTCTATCAGAACTCTGTATTTTCAGAAAGTTAAATAACATGAACTATGTATTTTTCTGATTTTTACGGATCAACCTGAAAAAACATACATAACACATTTTTATTTTGGGTTTCCAAAGAATATTTTGATGCAGATAAAATATTTTATTAACTTTTTTTTTTGGCTTTTTGTTTTTTTTTGTAAAAAAAAAAAAGTACCTCTGCATTGAGCATATTTTCTTACTTTTGTTATTTTAATTAATATGAATGACATAAGCAATCATTTCGATGCTGTTTGTGAATTATAAATATGTTTATAGCCTATTTGGAACATGTGGAATTCTTTTGCATTTTTCCTATTCACTGCACTTTTTAATTTTAATTTTTTGATCCATACCTCAGATAATATAAGTTTAGTTTTACATTTTAAAATGTCTAAATCCTTGTCCATAGCACCAAAGGCTCAGGTTGGAACTGTTTCTATGTTCATGACACTGCTAGCCTTTGGGGACTGGGCTGTCAGGGGTGAGAAGTAAGGAGGAAATACAAGGACTTGGGATGGAATTGAAAGTTGGAGACAAGGAGAAGGATCTAGGGTGAAGCACACTAAATCATGTATTAAGATCTGAGTCTATCCTGCTTTCATTTCTCCTTTTATCTACCCCTTGCCCTCATTCTTGAACAGCTGGAGGAATACCTCTTATGATGTCTGTCAAGCAGACACTATGAAATTGGAGTGCTTAAAAATACTTCTGTGACCCTCTGACATCCTACTGCATGGGTCCCCGGGGAGCAAACACTTAGAGGGAAACGTCGGAGATAAATCGCTTAGTAGTTATCTGTGCCAAGGGCCATTGTCAGAAACATTCTTATTATTCAGTCAAACTCCCTCTGAACTTCCTTTCCGAGAGGTAACTATCCCAGTGAACAACTATGCCCTTTTATAAAGGGGCTTCTGATGTATATTTTTAAAAAACTGGCCTTTTGATAGGGGACACTTAATTTGGGAATTGGATGTGTTGAAAATGGCATTAAATTCTCAGCCCAAATACTTAATGCTGGACATAAATCACAGAAAATTTAAGCTTAAGCAAATTTACAAAATTAATTTATTTCCTTGGGCAATCACGAAGTTCATGAAGTTCTGTGAAATACAAATTTCTATGTTGTATTCAGAAATGTGGCCAAAAAAAGGTATAGTTAATGGTTAGAAGTATGACTTTCATCTCAAGAGCAAAAGAGTTCACAGAGAGCTTGTGGTTTGCATTTAAAAATGTTTAAAGTATACTTATAAACCTTATTTTTTTCTCTTAAAGCAAAGTCCAGTTTATTTTGGTGCATAAATGCAAAGTGGAAGCTTACCAAATTGAACTTTTTAACCATATATGCCGATCGCTTTTTTTTATTGGGAAGACAAAACTACACACTTACATTATACATAATATATTTTTAAAAACTCATCTATCCACTCAAACATCATATATATATGCTAGTATAGTATTTTACTCTAAAGCAAATAATCAGATTAAACATTGCTTACATTTAATGCATGACTTTAAAAATATAAAATAGAATGCTATAGACATTTTAAGTAATTTATACTTTTAAATACTCCTGGGTTCAATGAAACGATGAAATTGTGCAAAGATATTGTCACCTCTTATCCACTAGTCTGTCACCTTATTTACACAATATAATCTAAAAATATTTATCTAGTTTATTCTAACCTATTGTGTAGTATAGAGCAGCATACACCAAGTTCTTAGTATACATAAAAAAATTAAGTTGCAAAACAGGAGACTAGTAAACATGTTGCTAAAACAGCAAAGAAAAGATGATGGTGGTGGAAAATAGCAACCCAAGCTGATGCTTAAGTTGTACAGGCCCAATGTTGTCCATGGTTTACATTAAGCTAGAAAGTGATAGTCTATCTTGTACTCCTGGTTTGATTTGATTAGCATATAAAGGTTAAAGTAGGATAGCTACCAAATATATATTATGCAATTCAATAATTCTTAATTTCAAAATGTAAAGCCAAGCTAAAATTTAAAACAATAAATAAATGACAGTTATCTTTAGTTTACTGGCCACACCCAATTATATTAATTAAATTGAATCATAAAGTTACCTATATTAATTAAATAAATTCATGTACAGGACACATGTATAAATATAACTCCTTACAAATACTTACAACTTTTAAGAGGGTTCTTGCTTACGTAGGTTTTAAAAAAAATTATTTTTAACTAACTAGACCCACTCAACATTAAATAGTCATTTGATCATGGTTCTGCCCATTGGAACACATCAATACATTTTATATTAATATTTAGGAGCTGAATTTGCCTAGAATGTAGGTGACAAACATCTTCAGATTGACATGTCAGTTTTATTAACTGCATTACATTTAATTTAATTTAAGATATTCTTTATATTTAGCATTTATGGAGACAAAAAGAGGTTTCTCATAAGATGGAATAACACTTTGGTTTTTACTTAACAGAGCTTACCTTCATTTCTTTTAAAGAAACTAATTTGGGAGTGTGATTGTATACACATTTTCTTGGTTCTTTTGACTAAGCTATATTGGTCCAGCAGTTCAAAATCATGTGAGAATAATAAGGGATACTGACAAAAGTTAATTCCAAATTTTTACACTATTATAAAAAATTTCATATGTATACCATCTAAGGTTTTTAATTTCTTTTATTTTTAAGCTTTTATTTCTAGTAATGAAAATAACACCATAAATCTGGCAGGTAAATTTGTTATATAACTGATCCTGAAATAGAAAATTGAATGATTTTCTTACCACTAATTTTTTTTTTTTTTAACCTTTTCAAAGGAGGGAGAGACTGTGTGATAACTTGTCACATTTTCAATAAAATAAAAGGATCACACGATCAAAAACTTTGATTCTGACACCATGGTTATATTTGCAGCAAATTGCTTGTAGGGTTAATTTAAGAAATAAAAACAGCATCGTAGACATTGCTGCCATGGGAAGCAAACAAAAATAAAGTGCCAAAGGAATTCTACATCCTCTTTAAGGTTTAATTCATTGCTACTTTTACATTCTGATAATGTCAAGTGTTTTTAAGCCAATAAACTTTTAAAAAAATTTTGAAAGAAATAAGTGTTTAGACACAGGGACAAGGCCTATTTATTTTTTCTTTTAGTAGTCAATTCAAAAGTATTGGCCAGTTTTTGAAATAAGCTTATCCTATGATTAAGTATTAGCAGAGAAAAAGAGTTACCTCCTACATCTTGCTCTTTGCCCAGTTTGAAAGTCTCAGGGAAAAGCAGGGATAAGAGCCCAACCTGAGCCAGGTCAGGAGGCATCTTTACATCTAAGAATCCCACACATTCAATCAGTCAGCCAAGCTGCAAATCATCCATCAGTATCTCAGCAACTTTATGTAATGAAGTAATATTAGATTATAAAACGAGAGCTCTTGTTTGCTTTTCAGCTGAACTGATTACAAATGCGCTTGTCTTGACTATGTCCTAACAGGATGTGATTCTCCAGCCCTGGCTTTGCCCTCCACCACTTGATATCTAGCATCATTTCCAGCTTTTGCATTCGTGATTGTATGAGTCTTAAAAGACTGAAAGTTCTAGGAGATAACAAAAAAAAGGCGGGGGCATGATTCCTCCTTGGATGAAACTAAATTTATGTCCAGATGAAACTAAAAGACAATCACATAACAGAAAAAAAAAAAAAACCTGTCAATAAAGTAATAAATATAGATGTTTTTAATGACCTTGTCTTAGTTAAGAAAAAGACAAACTGAGAAAGTGTGAGAGTAGATCAAGAGATTTGCAAAGTGAACGCTGATCCTTGGACTTAGCATTTTTTTATGAAGTCTGTCAAAAAGTTGAATTAATCAGGAAGGAGATAATCGGGGTAGCATCGTTGTTGATAATAAATAGATCTAGGACCTTAATTAAACACGTAATTTTTATTTATTTATTTATTTTTGAGTTAGAGTCTCACTCTGTCGCCCAGACTGGAGTGCAGTGGCTGCTCCTGGCCACCGCAGCCTCAAGCTGCTGGGCTCCAGCGATCCTTCCGCCTCAGCCTTCCAAGTAGCTGGAACTACAGGTGTGCACTACCACACCCGGCTAATTTTTTTATTTATTGTAGAGATGAGGTCTCACCAAGTTTTCCAGGCAGGTCTCAAACCCACGGGTTTAGGCAATCCACTCACCTCAGCCTCCCAAGGCGTGGGATTACAGGCTGAGCCACAGAGCCCGGCAACATGTAATTTTTAAAAACATCTCTTTTATGATTAAAGTTTCACATTTTCCATGAAGTCTTCTCGAAATTCATGAAGAAATATGGATAATCTTTATGTGACATCACTCCACCAATTAGGGTAGCTCAGAACACAACTTTCTATCACCATTCCCTCACTTTCCCAATAATTCAGGAAGTATTTTCCGAAGTCCCCCTCCTTGCACAAGGTGCTCAGCTAGTGAGACATTTCTTTACTTGCTCTTTAGCTGTTTAGTGTGTTATTGGTGGATATTTACATTGATATACTCTTATAGTTTGAACTTCTGAAGGAAATATATCTGCTCTTATTGCACATTGCTCACTTGAAGTGCAGGTTAATAAAAAAGACTTGAGAAACGCTTTTAGCTGACAACAATTTTGAATGATGCATCCTTCTGACTTAAGCACTTTGTAGAAGCTATTGGATATTCTACTTATTCACAGGACTTAGTGTTCAATTTTAATTATAGGTTCCTGGCATATGTTAGCTTCTC